CTATATGAACTTTCGTAGACCTATCAAGTGCCACTTTACAAAAATGTCACATTTTTCAAATCTTTACAAAAATGTCACTTTTTCAAAATTATATTTTTTTATATTATTTATGTTTGGGTTAATTATGTTTTATTAGGATTTAATTTTGAGTGTTTAGGGGATTTTAGGTGTCAAAATATTTTTTAGGGTTTAGAATTCTAAGATATAAGCTTTATAAATTTATAATTAGTGGCATTTTTGTAAATAGACACTCTTAAGTGGCATTCTTGTAAATGTACACCCTTAAATAGCATTTTTGCAAATGTACACACAAAAAATGACATTTTTGTAATTGCCCCTAAAATGTAGTCTTTTCGATGACGTTCAATAAAATTGAAATGATACAGAGAAGATTAGGATTATCATGGTCTCTGGATCACAAATTGAAAATTAGTCCAAATTTTAATGAAAAGAAAAAAGAATTGAACTACAATAAGTGAACCAATACGGTTAGATTAGAAATTTAGAAAGACAAAAATCACGGTTTAGCCAATTAAACCGGTTTAGTCAGAACCAGACCGGCCACTTTTGTGATCTTCTCTTTGCGATGGTGATTCTCAAATGACGAATTAGCTTAAACACCAAAGAGAGTAAAGGAGAATCCTTTTCCGAATTTCCATGAAACTCCTCCATCTTCCTACTTCCTCGAGACCTTTTTCTCTCCAATCTCTCCTCAAAAGCGGCTTCTCTCCCACCTTAAACTCCATCGACAGATTTCTCCGATACCTTTACAGTCGCCAGAAGTTCAATTGCATTCTTCACTTCTACTCTCAGCTAGATTCGAAAAAATTTCACATCAATCACCGGATTTACTCGATCGTTTCATGGGCATTCCTCAATTTGAACAGATGCGAAGACGCAGAGAAGTTTATCAACACCCACATTTCAAAATCCTCGATTTTCCCCAGAACGCATATGTTGGATTCTCTAATCCATGGATTCAGCGTCACGCGAAACGATCCCGATAAAGCACTTTCGATTCTCCGGGATTGTTTAACGAATCACGGTGCGTTTCCTTCTTCCTTGACGTTCTGTTCACTGATTTATCGGTTCGTCGAGAGAGGAGAGATGGATAATGCTATTGAGGTTTTAGAGATGATGACGAACAAGAAAGTAAACTACCCATTTGATAATTTCGTTTCTAGTGCTGTGATTTCTGGGTTTTGTAGGATTGGTAAACCTGAGCTTGCGTTAGGGTTTTTCCAGACTGCTGTGAATTCAGGAGCTTTAGTGCCTAACCTTGTAACGTATACTACGCTTGTGAGCGCTCTATGTCAAATGGGTAAGGTTGATGAAGTTAAGGATTTGGTTAGGAGACTAGAAGATGAAGGATTTGAATTTGATTGCGTTTTCTACAGTAATTGGATTCATGGGTACCTTAAGGGAGGTTCGTTAATGGGTGCACTTGTGGAGGATGAGAAAATGGTGGAAAAGGGAATAAATCGAGATGCTGTGAGCTATTCAATACTAATAGATGGGTTGTCGAAGGAAGGAAACATTGGAAAAGCGTTGGGGTTATTGGGGAGGATGATAAAGGAGGGAATAGAGCCGAATTTGATCACTTTTACTGCTATTGTGAGGGGACTCTGCAAGAAGGGTAAACTGGAAGAGGCCATTGTGTTGTTCGATAGAGTTCTAAGTATGGGAATCGAAGTAGATGAGCTTATGTATGCGACTTTGATCGATGGAGTTTGTAGGAAAGGATATTTGAATCGAGCTTTCTCTTTGTTGGGAGATATGGAGCAGAGAGGTATTACACCAAGCATCCTCACTTATAACACTGTGATTAATGGACTGTGCCGGGCAGGGAGAGTGTCTGAGGCAGATGAGATTTCGAAAGGGGTTTTGGGAGATGTCGTTACTTTTAGTACTTTGTTAGATGGTTATATCAAGGAACAGAATATTGATGCTGTTTTAGAAATTAGGCGTAGATTTGTTGAAGCTGAAATCCCTATGGACTTGGTTATGTGCAACATTCTTCTGAAAGCATTTCTATTGGTGGGTGCATATGGAGAAGCTGACGTCCTTTACAGGGCAATGCCAGAAATGGATCTGACTCCAGACACGGTCACATATTCAACGTTGATTGAGGGGTGTTGCAAAACAGGTCAGATCGAACAGGCACTTGAGATGTTTAATGAGCTGAGGAAAAGCTCGGTTTCCTCAGCTGTATGTTACAATCGCATCATCGATGCACTCTGCAAGAATGGGATGCTGGAAACAGCCATAGAAGTTCTTATTGAGCTGTGCGAGAAAGGTTTGTATTTGGATATCCATATATCTCGGACCTTGTTGCATTTAATCCATGGAAAGAAAGGTGACGTAGGAATAGTAGATTTAGTTTATAAACTCGAACAGTTGAGTTCAAACGTTTGTCTTGGGATGTTCAATGATGCTATTTTGCTTTTATGCAAGACCGGTTCTTCCGAGGCTCTGATTGAAGTTTATATGGTTATGAGGAGAAAGGGTTTAACTGTTAATTTTCCTTCTACAATTCTAAAAACGCTAGTGAACAATCTCAGAGCACTGGATGCTTATTTACTGGTTGTAAATGCTGGTGAAAGTACTCTACCTTCCATAGATGTGGTCGATTACACAATCGTCATCGATGGTCTCTGCAAGGAAGGATTTCTGGTAAAGGCATTAGATTTGTGCACTTTTGCTAAACAGAGAGGCATTATTCTTAATATCATCACATATAATTCACTCATAAATGGACTTTGCCAGCAAAGTTGTCTTGTAGAAGCTCTCCGTCTATTTGATTCGCTAGAGAAGATAGGTTTAGTCCCGTCTGGGGTCACTTACAGCATTTTGATTGACAATTTATGCAAAGAAGGTTTGTTTCTTGATGCTGAGAAACTATTGGACAGGATGGTATCTAAGGGACTTGTACCCAGCATTCTCATTTACAATTCGATGATTGACGGGTATTGCAAGCTCGGGCATACAGAGGACGCTGTGAAAGTTTTATCTCGGCAAGTGATGGGAAGGGTATCACCAGATGCATTCACAGTCAGTTCTTTGATCAAAGGTTACTGTAAAAGAGGTGAAATGGAAGAGGCTCTCAGAGTGTTTGCTGAGTTCAAGGATAAAAACATCTCAGCCGATTTCTTGGGTTTTCTGTTTCTGATCAAAGGCCTCTGCACGAAAGGGCGAATGGAAGAAGCGAGGAGTGTCCTGAGAGAAATGCTTGTTGCAGAATCTGTTGTTGACCTGATTAACAGAGTTGATGCAGAATTAGCCGAATCTGAATCGGTCAGAGGCTTCCTTGTCGAGCTGTGCGATCAAGGAAGAGTCCCTCAAGCTGTCAAAATCCTAGATGAGATAAGTTCCTCGTTCTATCCGTCCCGTAAAAACCAGGGTTCTTGTCAAAGGTTGCAGTCCCTGAATGGTGTGAATGAAATAAAAATAAAGAAAGAAGACTATGCCCATGATTTTCATATACTTCACTCAACCATTAGCTCACTCTGCTCCAGTGGGAAGCTGAAGCAAGCTAATGAGTTCGTTATGTCTGTGCTCTCTTGTTTGCCTAGATAGGTCAAATATGTTTACTTGACTGCTCAAACCACTAAAGCCAAATTGAAATAATCTTGCGTGAATTCGAACAGCTAGCAGCAATGGAGAAGCAATTAGGTTGGATCACTGATGTTGTTAGACATTTGATTGACTCAATCATCGAAATGGAACAACTTTTGGTGGTTGTTGATTAACAGCTTCTCTGTAAGATTACTGGTAAGGTAAAAATCTGATTGCTTATGTTCTGCAGTTTGAGAATTTTCTTATAACATTGTGTTTGTACTTCTCATGAGTTCTTACTTGTTGTAGGACCTCTGGAGAGAATTAGCTATGAATCAGAGAGGAACAACAATAGGAGCTTGAGGAACCGTAGGCTGTAGAGGAACACAGTCCCAGTCCTTACCGGCTCGAGTGACCGAGAAATGTTTGGGAATCCAAGATTGTCCAGAAGCCACTCTTTGTCTCATATACTCTCTCTGTTTCTCCTCCACATATCTCTTGCCTTCTCTTGCTTTCTCCCAATCTTTGTTCATGATTCCTTCACTCACCTCACTCCACACTATCGCAGACTCGGTATCGCTCACCTCCTGCAAACCAGAAATAACCGGATTAAGATAACCGATCAAAATTATAATTCCATAGAAGTTTCTTAACCACCTGTAGGTTCTTGACAATGGGAGTCTTGAGCTTTGCAATGCTTTCACTTGCTTTGTATATAACCTCAAGCTCGCCGGTCTTCAGATTTTTTGCGGTCACGGTTCTGAAAACATCAATGTTATTGTAAAGTATGTTTTGTAACTGTAATAAAACTTTGAAAGATTGGATTTGTTTTGCCCTTACTTGTCCCAATGTCCAAAGATTTCATAGAGTTGGTTTCCAGTGGAAGATTCAAAGATATTGCCTTTAATGGATCTTTTGTTGTTTCCTGTGAATCTACTGAAGAAAGAATTTGAGAGCAACTGCAGTTCGGCTTCGAGTCTGGTCTCGGGGCACTTTATAACGATTTTTCCGGCCCAGTGAGCTCCGGTTGCCGGAAGAAATGTCATCAGAAGTTTTGGCTGGTTCATTTCGTAAGTCTCTCTTTGATTCAAAAGTTTCACCACTCTTTTACCCTTCACCTCAACCTCCACGTAAGCACCTTTGATTTCATTAATTATAAAAAACGAGGTATCTCGATTTAAAATAGACCCACAATCTAATCGATTTTTTTTTTTATTAAATGAAATTTTAAAATTATATATTAGACGATAGTATTGATTATATAGTCTTTCCACTTCAATATAGTAATGTGACACAAAAATAGAGGTATTTAAAAGGATATAATTTTGATAAGTTGTGTAAACATACCACGAAATTAATTATCAAACAAAAAAAAACATACCACGAAATTTAGGTGTGAAGTATTGACAAAACATTACGTCTAAGTTTTCTTTCTCGTGAGTTGCATGAAGAGCACACACTGGTGGATGATGCGATATCTGAAAAAACAAAATCAAAACATTTGAG